GGAGAGCCGCAAGGTGCCAGGGGCCGGAGCCCAGCGCAGACAGAGCGGCACCGCGCGCGGGAGCACGTCGGACATGTCCCCGACTCCTCTCTGCTTCTGTGCCGAGATAAACTACTGCCAGGAGCCAGGCTCGGAAATACCCAGCGTTACCTCACCCCAACACTGAAGTGATGAGGGCAGCAAGAAATAAAATAAATAAAAACCACAATAAAACCACGATGGGGTTGTAATTCACAGGGAACCTCTCCCTCAGGAGCGGTAAAGCCAATGGTCTGTGCACGTGGGCTAACCCCAGGGCCGGGGCAAGGCGGGGAAGAGGGGCCCAGGGCGTTGTCACGCTGCAGGAACGGCTGCACCAGCCCCGGTGCGTCCTGCCACGGCCAGTGCCGACAGTGCAGCGCCCGCAGCACGGCGGGCAGGGTCACCGCATCACCCACCTCCGGGCCGGGTGAGCAGAGCAGCCCCTCCACCGGCGCCTGGAGGAGAAGCACCTGCAGCAAGGGGCCGCTCAGCGGGGAAAGGAGAAGCCGAGATCCGTTTATCGTTTAAGCGCGACCGTACAGAATCCACCTCCTGCAGCCTGTGGCTGCTTTGGCAAAAGAAGCAGGTTGCAACCTAAGTTTTACCAGAGAATCATCAAGAACAAGCTCCCGGCTCCCCGGCTGAGCAAAACCCGGGGCGCAGAGCGACACCGCAGCACCGCGGTTAACAGGACGCAGCTGAAATCTGTTGTCGCTTCCGCGACCTCTGTCTAAAGCAGGGCGGCCTGCGCACGCCCCTGGCATGTTCTGGAGAACGTAATGAACAAAGAAACCCCACGGACGTTTCCCAGTTTCTAGATGGAAGAGGTGGAACTGGCAACAGTCCAGAAGAGGCAGAAGGATACTGAATATTTTTACTCTGTATTTTAAGACATCATCTGCCACTTCTCACATCTCAGCACGATGACAGACAGCCCAGCCAGCAGCTCTGGAGAAGGATAAACAGTCGTTACTACCCTGAGATATTTTTGCAGCCCGACCTGGGTAGCTCACACCCGAGAGCTCTGCAGTGACCAGAAAACCTAACATAGACGTGGACATTTCCCACAAAGCCTGGGGAAAGTAGGGGGACCCCCAGAGAAGTCAGAAAAAAATATCAGTTCTGGTCTAGAAGAAATGGGCACCCTGCCTACAGCTCTTCAGCGTGGGCTGTCAGCATGCACACTGCCCCACGGGGGGGCCTCCCACACACAGCACCCCCACGGCAGCTCTGGACGGCCTGGTAGGCCCAGCAAGCGCCCGGCTGGGAGCCCGAGCACAAGGTGGGCGCAGCCCATGGGCAGAGGCTGCGGCTGAGAGCTGGCTGTCACCTTTGGGCCCTGGGGAAACCGGGCAGGGTTCGCGTCCGAGGCACCCTCTGGTGCCAGCAGCTTCCCAGCACACAGGGAGCACCTCACTCTGGCCCTGCCTGAAGGGCCAACAGCCACACGCTTCTCAAGGGCAGCCCCAGCGCGGGACAACGTGTCCTGCCAGAGCACAAAGTCCAAAGGCTCAGGCCAGAGCAAACTGGGAAGCAAGGCAGGTGACCCGCGCCACCCACAGGCTGAGCCGCCGGGGACGTCCCGGGGCCTCTCGGGAGCGCGCAGGAGCCACGACAGAAACTGTGGAAAGGAAACGCCGTCGTCCCGTGGCAGAGAGAGCCCAAGGTGCTTCAGGGCTGTTGGGGGGGACAGAAAGGATGGTTCGGGCACCGCAGAGTCCAGGTGGGTGGCACAAAATGCTCCCACCGACTCTGGTGATCTGGACCCGACACTGAAACATCTTTTAAGTTGGAAAACGTGACCCTTCTTACACTGTCCATCTCCAGCCTGCTCATGAATAAAATCATTCAGCTACTCTAGCCGATTTTTCAGTTCCCGCCTCTCCACAATAACAGAAAAACCACTCTGGAAACTGCTTCTCCCCGAGATGCCAAGCCTGGATTTGCTGTGACTCTCCTCAGCGAGATGCTCATCTGCTGCCACAACAGAAACCTCCCAGGAGGGCCCTTGGAGACAGAAGGCTGAGGCACAGGGGAGCCGCCAGTGTTGAACAACAGGGAAGCGACGTTGGCCGGCAGCAGCCTGGCAAGGCGAGACCAACAGGCTGCCTGCGAGGGAGCTGCTGGGGGAAAGGCAGGGCGGGAGAAGGGAGCCCGGAGGGAACTCCCGGTTCGCAGCTCTGTTGGCACCGGCTCGGCGCGCCACGGCACCCCAAAGCTGCACCAGAGCTGCCGCTGTGGAACAGGGCCGGCGGCGCCGCGGGGCAGCCGTAGCGAAGGCGAGAGGTGGAGTCTGCCAGGACATGGCGACGTCCCGCGCAGAGCCGCGGGGAGCTGGGCTCGCTGCCCTGCCCGGGCAGCCCGCAGCAGGCCGGGAGCGGCGCCTCGGGGCAGGGGGACGCCCAGAGGCCCCCGTACAAGGGCCGTTACCCACTCCGCGCATGCTGAAGTCACGCAGAACCGACTGAGACCTGCCAAGTATCACCTACGGGCGCCAGAAATACCAGCTGCCTCGCAGCCACCGAACACGGGCGCTGTTCACCAGAAGAGTTCCTCAGCTTGGAGATCTTAGTAACAGCACTGCCTCAGCTCTCCTTGCTTTCTTGGGCTGCAGTAGGATTTGAGGGGGTGGCTGACAGGCCAAGTCAACGCCCCTCATAAATGTGGTATTTTTCATTTACCATCTGGAAGAGGCAAAGTCCGCCCTCCCGCAGCCCCGCCGCCCAGCTCCAGCAGCACAGAAACCCGGGAGCAGCCGCGCTGCTGGACTCCAACCAAGGCCTGCACGGGTTCGACCCCCTCCCTCCCCCAGCAGCTGAACAAACTCCTAAGTCTAAGCAGATTAAGGTTATTAGACGCTTGTGGCATAAAGGCGGAGGCGCAACAGGCCCTTCCCGGCACAGCAAAAGGACACAGACTTCAAGGAGGAAGAGGGGAACGGCAGCGACAGACAAGGGAGGATTCAGCGCCTGCCCGCGGTGCGGCCCCTCCTGGACAAGAGCTGCTCAGACTGGGCCCTTGGCACTAGCCAGGGGCCCCCACTAGCCCCGGCTCACGCTCACCTGAGCGCAGCACACGCCAGCGTTGTGCTGTTGGCTCTCCCAGGGGAGCAGGAGGAGCCGCAGGTGGAAGGTCTGTGGAGCACGAGGGCAGAGACGGGGCGGGCTGTGGCACGATGCCTGGCCGCCTTCCCTCCCTGCATGACCCCGGGATACGGGAAAAGGGAAAACCATTCCTCTGCGAGCAAATATTCAGCTCCTGGAGGTGCTGCTCCCCCAGGATCTCCCTCCCACCACTGAGCACAGACAGGACAAACCAGAGAAATCGGCTCAGGCTGTGAGGAAGCCGCTGCCAGAGCGCTGCAGGGACAAGGCGATACCTGCCCCAGAGCCTCCTTTGCTGGCCCCAGAACCACGGGGGGTGAGGTACGTGGGCCCCAGGGACCGGGCCAGGGCACGAGCGGTGCTGCACCACCCGGCTTTTCCCTCGTGCAAAGTCCCTCAGAGCCCGCGCTTCGGCAGTGAGGGCTCCCGGAGGGGCTGGACAAGGAGCACCCTGCCTCCTCCGAGCAGCGCTCGGCCTGTGTATGGCCGGGAGGGGATGTGGGGGCTGGCAGCCCCCCGCAGCACGAGGAGGCTCAGGGCCCCTGGGCTGCTTCACAACCCCACGACACAAACGCGGGCAGAGGCTGCGCCCTGCTGCAGCCGCAGTAACGAGAAATGTCTTAGTGGTCCCGCAAGATTCAGCTCTTGATCTACGCTAACACTACGGTCTCCTGGAAAAAAGGAGCATCGGTGGGGAATGAAAAGATCAAACGAGCGGGCAAGTCACAGGCGGGGTCCCTGCCGTGATCTGTCTCGGAACCCAAGTGCCTCAGGAGAGGGGCAGCAAGGGCACCTCTCCCCGTGTCACCAGCTCCCAGCCTGCGCTCCAGTGAGGCCAGAGATAACCAGGCTCCCCTCACTGGGAAAAGCCTGCCCGTGGCTCAAAGTCACCCCAGGGCAGATGAGCTGAGGTCCTGTCACCAAACAAGCAACTGTTGGGCAGAGCCAGCTCTGTTTGGTGGTTCTGCTCCAAGAGCCTCCCCACATCTGAAGCCCTAAAGGCAGAGGAGGGAAAACTCATGCCAGGTTTTGTAGCAGCGTGACACTACAGAACAGCCCTTCTAAGAGAGGGAGATGCCGGAGGGGCGGAGCCTACCTGATGATGGTGTGCATGCCTCGCACCTGCGGCGTGTTCTCCAGGACACTCAGCGTCTTTGGCAGCGGCTGCCCTTGGTGGGCAGAGGCCAGAGCTGCCCTGCAACAAGGAGGCTGCAATCAGAGGTGCCCAGCCCCCGCCGCAGAGCCACCGTGCTGGGCCCCTCGAGGCTGCCTACGCCAAGCCCCAGAGAACAGGGACTGTCTGGGGACCTTCTCCCACGAACGGGAGCAGCCCGGGGCACACCAACACGGGGGGAAGGAACCGTGCTGCAGACAGGGACAGGAGCAGCACAGGGAGCCGGTCACACAGAGGGTTGGGTCACACAAACAGCCCCCAGGGAGCTGCAGCGCAGGAGGAGCAGCTACACAGGCCTCTCAGTCATCTGGGTTGGAAAAGCCCTTGCAGCTCCTCCAGCCCCACCATGACCTGACCGTTCCCAGCTCCCCCAGATCCCTCAGCGCTGGCTCAGCCCGACTTTTCAACCCCTCCAGGGATCCCGGGGACTCCCCCCTGCCCTGGGCAGCCCATTCCAACGCCCAACAGACCCTTCTGCACAGAAATCCTTCCTCAGAGCCAGCCTGACCCTGCCCTGGGCAGCTTGAGGCCATTCCCTCGGGGCCTGGCGCTGGCTCCTTGGCTCCAGAGACTCATCCCCCCTCTCTGCCCCCTCCTGGCAGGGAGTTGCAGAGGGCCAGGAGGTCTCCCCTCAGCCTCCTCTGCTCCAGACTAATCTCAGCAAAGCTCTGGCCAGCACAGAGAGAGGAGAGGCAGGACGTGGAGAAGAGGGGGTGCTGGCTGCCCTCCACCCCCAGCCCAGGAACCGGCCCCTCTGCGCCCAGCAGCATCCCCGCGTACCTGACGGTGATCTCGCGCTGGGCAGTGGAGTGGAGTCATC